GGGAATTATTTTCCATTAATTTATGGAAAATTGATTTATCATCATCTAACTAAGGACTAGAGCTGAAGAGCACACTTTGAAGTGCACGTGGGACTTCTGTATCACACTACACACTAAGTTTTTCAATTCAATAAATTTCAATAAAATACTGCATTTAGTTCTGTAAATTGTTCGATAAACTATTTTTTTACGCAAATTTACTGTCAGTTTATGTACAAATGGTTTTGCAAACAATTAACACTGTTCTGCTGGTGTTTCAATAATAAGTTCTGATGTTTTGATTGACAAATTCTAATGAGAACCTATATAGGTCCGTTTAGCCATGATGTCATTGTTCTAGAACAAAATACTACTGTCCAGAAAAGAAAAGAAAAACTGTACAGATGGAGAACAAACAGGGGGTTTATATACATATATATATTGTATTAGAAAATTGTGCCTGTTACCCTGGTGACCGCTCTTGAAGGTAAAGGGTGTGCAACCTTTAACTTCAGCCCTGCTCTTTCCATTGACTCCATTACGACTTCACACAAACTCTAAACTGTCACCTTATCTCACTCCATCGCGCCCTGTCCCTCCACGTTTCCCTTTTTCCTTTCTGCTTGTCACCTCTCAAAGACGGGAACGTTTTTTGAGCAAAAACAAGAAAGAAGACATTCTCTGTGTGTGAGAGAATATTTGTACAGTGTTGCTAAGCATTGCCTTTTCCTCCATCAGCACACATAATTGGAACTTTTAGCTTGAATGCCGGCTTTTGATGAGAGATTTGGTCCGATGTTTTTTTTTTTTTTTCCCCTCTATTTTTTTTTTTCTTGCTCTGCGCGTTTCACAGTCTCGCAGTGTCTGCCGTGCCGGGAGAAAACACGAGCGGCTGCTGATGTTTGAACGTCCTTTAGAAAGAATTTTCAACATGGTCTCTGGGCAAATAACAGCCGTACATAAATTGATCATCAAGGGTGATTATAATCATCTTTTCATTTGACGGGGGAATTCAGGAGCAGAGTTTGCACAGTGTGTTTGTTTCTGTATCAAACTTCTGCCATTTGCTCTTTAAAATCTCATGAACTTTTTTTTTAAACATGACACCCTAAATGACTACTGATCTGGACTGCATTCATTGATTATAGTGTTCTAGTCACAAAGGCTGTAATTAATGACTAGTTTTGTGATTGAAACCCATCTTTGTGTGTTTTTGTTTACTCCTTCCAAAGATCTAAGCGCAGCTGGACTCCAGTGTGTGCGCGTCTCATGACGGACATATATATATACGGCACTGAACTCAAAGTGTGTGACAGTCCTTTCTGTCCAACCTTAGATAAACTAGCTGGGTGCTTGTATAATTGGTTATTCAATCCTGACCTCTGTGGCAACTGGGAGCTGCTGCAGCGTGTTTCTTTCTGCCAAGAGCAGTCAATGTGGAGCCTGTTCTGGTGCTGGGCCGGGCCCGAGCCAGGGCCTTTCCTGTGAGCCCTCCCCACCCGCGTGAAGCTGGCGCTGGGACACTGGCCCTTTTGTTGTCCACTGTGGGCCTGGCTCTCCTCGTCTCATTCCCCCTCCATCTCCCCGCTTCTCTCCACTCCTCCAAAACCAACCCCCGCCCCCTCTTTCTTTTCCGAACAAAACATCTCATTGGCTTTGCAAATATGAGATAATTGGAAAAATGGAGTTGGCCGGGCTGAGTCAGAACGTTTGGGCAAAAAATAGCACCGCAACGCCGAGGCATAGAGAAACAGAGTGGGTGATGAAATTATTTGTGAAGTACAGAGCCCAGACCAAGTTGGACCATGGTGTGTGAACAATGAAAGTACACTCACTGGTGGCACATCTTGAGTGGTTCTTCCACGCACGCTTTTGGGCCAGGTGGCTGGACATCTTGGCTTTGGCTCTGCCAGCTGCTGGAGTCCTCTGGAGCCAGTGAACTTTAATAATGCCCCATAATTCACCTATTATTGTCAGATTAGCTTCTCCTCTCCAATTTTGGCGTGCTTGGTGTGGTGGTTGGTGAGTTTATGATCTCATATTCACTTTACAGATGAGTGTGTGCAACTGACCAACTTGTTTGTCTGATCTGTCTGCCGAACATCCTGTTCAAGACACAAATAGAGGTTGATGAGTAGAAGGACAGTTTTAGTGACGGTCCAGGGTGTTCTCAAAATCCGATGAAGGGACTCCATGGGGAATGGGTGCTAGTGGGTCCTTATCTTATTAATATACACATATTTATGTTAACACTAATATTCATGTTTGATTTATTTTTTTCCCCTCACCACTACCTTTAATTTGCTCACTATTTTTGAAATATTTGTTTTTTAAAGCTGCTTAGAAACAATATTTCAAATAGGACCATTAGAAAGAATTTTGGCACAAACACCACTTCTCTCAAACACACCCTTGCTCTGTGTCTTTCCACTGTTCTCTTTCTGCTGTACCCCTCAGGCAGCGCTGGTCCCACCAAAAATGTGCTCCCCACCTTGTAAGGGCGCATAGGGTTCCACCCAGCTGCCACAAACAAGACCTCTTTACACTAATGCATACAAGCTGTGCTGCTGTATTGGAAATAATGGGACCAGTCGCAAAAGTTCCTGCCCTCTCTCACTTCTGTTTCTCTCTCTTATGCACATATTTTGAATGTCGATAACCCATAGCAAATATAGGTTTTAAATTGCACCTTTTTTTCTTAATACAACATTTTGTTGTTTCATTTTTCTCATATGTTTCTTTTAAATTTCCTTGAGAGATATACAATGAGACCAATTTGAGCATGCAGTAAGTGTATAGAGCTATTACATTAATATGGTTTGCTTTGGTCTTTGTAAATATTACATGAGAAATGTTTGAGTTCATATTAAAATATCTGACTTTTCGGACCCTCGTCAAAATTCTCAATTAAAATCCATTAAATCTCAATGTATCAAAACAGCTATATTAAACTGAGATATTAAAGAGATATCATTTGTGATTTTTAGTTCGCTAGAGTCTATATTACTAGTACACGAATAAGTGGCAGGATACAGTCCTTATTTTGGCTTTTAAAAGTCCAGCATTTGTTGTTTTTCATTTTGAAAAAACTAAAAGCAACATCACGGTCTGAACTGAAAGGTGATTCTATCAAAGGCCCGCAGAAAAGGGGCGTCGCAACAGTCCTTTTCTTGCCAAAGGTTGAAGAACGAGATCAAGACAAGGGAGCTGCCACGAAAGACAGATACATCAGCATATCTGCTTCCTTCTCTGTCCATTTTGCAGTAAACGATTGCACAGATCCTCGCTGCGGGCTGTCACATAAAAGAGGGCTTTCTATTTTTATTAATAGTTAAAGTGAAGGAGCTGTCAGCAGGGACAATAGCAGCCATGTTAATAAATAAAAATAATAACTATTACGGTGCCGTGGTGAGAGAGAGGGTGAAAGTGCTATACTATACAGGGAGAGAGAGAGCAGGCAGGGGGGATAGACGGAGTGGCCATTTGTTGAAACCTTTCGCTTGTCAAAGCTCTTGGGCTTAAAAGCCTCTGTCATTGTTACACACAGATGCCAGAATAGAGGAGAGAGAGAGAGAGCCGAGGGCTAATAACACCTGTTGGGGTGACAGTGAGACAGCTGTCAGTAGAAACAGCAGCAGTAGTGAAGGTGATTGTCTGAACTGTGAGGCAGTGCGTCCATAAACCAAAGACGTCTGTTACAGGCCTGAAAGTGTCAAACTTTGAAGTCCAGACGCGAGACCGGGAACACAAAGGATATTCAGAAATACTCAAGAGGCAAGAATGCGACAAACTTTAAATCGCAGACATGCCACACGAGCACTAATCAGACATGAAATATTTGGCAAGTCTTCTTCTATTTGGCAAGCCTTTGAGTGTAAGTGTGTGTGCCGCCCACCTGGGGCCTGTACAGTTTATCAGTCGCAAAGACAGAGGTTAGTTCTCAGTGTATTAACTCCAGCTGAATTGGTAATGGTGCCACCTGGTGTTTTTACTTTGGTGGAGAAGTATTTAACTCTGTATGTGTGTGTATTTTTTGCTTTTGGAGATGTGAATTTTAATTTTACAAAGGGTGTAGTGATTAAGATTTAAATGAGATGTTTTTCAAGACAGGATTGATTGTGTAAAATAATATGGAAACCTTCAAATTGTAAGCGTCATGCTTTACTAACTGAGCCACAGGATGTAGAATTACAAAAAGGAAATCATAATTGAATGTTAAGTTTGTGCGTGTGTGTTTTTGCTTTTGGAGACGTGAGTTTAGTGATGTAACAGTTACTCTTTATATTTTCCAGTGAGGTTATCTCCTGGCTAAATAAAGGCTAAATAAATAAATGTAGAATGACAAATGGGATAAAAATGACACGTAAAGGAAATCACAACTGAATCTAAAGTTGGAGCGTGTGCATAGTTTCGCGGCCAGCTAAAATACTGACTGATGATGTCATTTACCACAAACACACACCTTGCTTTTCTCTTTCACTATTTGTGTCACTCTCTTCCTCTTGTTTTGTTTCATATCGCAGTTAATTGTTGTGGTGGTAATGCTGGTACTGATGTATTTGTGTTGGAGAGGAATACAGGGGTGGGGGGAGGGGGGGTGTTGAGAGTTGTTGTAATTTTCCCCTCTCTCTCTCTTGTTTGAGACGTCCGTCCTTGGCAGGTTAGTAATTAGCGTGTGGGGTGGAGGGGTTAGCGGGTCCGCGGGGTGTATTAGGAAAACAAAGCGCACAGCCTCGATAATGTGTCCATTGTACCCGGTGCATTAAGAGCCTCTTTGTGTTAGCTGGAGCATAGGGCTAATGATTGGCTAACAGCAGGTGAGGAAGCCGCTCAACTCTCTCTCTCTCTCTCTCTGTCTTTCTCTCTCCTTCTCTCTCTCCATCCTTTCTTCCTCCTGCCCTACTGTTGGTGCCATTAGAGAGACGGGCCTTTATTACAGCAAATGGACTTTAAATGAGCTATATTGTGATGTTGCCTGCCTGTGGTAATTCTCTCTCTTTCTGTCTCTCCCTCCCCTCCAGAGGCCCCCAGTATTGAGAGGCTGTTGTCTAAGGACTGGAAGGACAAGCTATTGGCCATGGGTTCTGGCAACTTTGGGGAGATCAAAGGTAAAACGAAAGACTTTGTGTCTTCATTTGACCTCTGAGAGTTTGCATGGCCATTGACATATCTGTTGTATCTCTTTTTAGAGCAACAACACCGACCTTTCGCTATTCCAATCGGCGATTGGGTCAGAAGAGCTGGTTTTGCAGTTCTAGTTTTGAATTGATACTTATAATTGTACGTCTCAAATGTCACAAGCGCTCCGGTATGCTAATCCACCTAGCGCTAGCCTCTTGGCCTGCCCCGGTTAATGATCTGCCGGGATGACTCGCTAAGCAACGAGCCTTGCTCATGTTAGCACGGTTAATGATACATCCTGTTAGGTCGTTCAGCCGTAGCGAGAACACACTCCTCTGTCACTTTAACAAGCCTTCCTCACACTAGTGGTGTGCACGGCTAACTCTGGAGTAAATGTACTTCATTAAGCTCCGAAATATTTAATCAAACGAAGCTTGTTCACGCTCCTGGAGCAGAAAAGGGAACGCCATTGATCAATCCGCCGGTGCGGTAACCCCACTGTGATGACATTTTAGCAAGAGAGCATCCCCGCCATGACCAGCGGTTGGAGAGGTCCCTCGCAACTGTCATCTCTCTCTGTGTGCGAAACCTTCGAGATCAGAAATGAGCACACAAATTTATAAAAATCATTTTAAATGGGGTGCTGTATAAGCAAGGTTCTCAGTCTGTGAATAATTTTTGTATGTTCACATTCAGGTTTGCTTACAAGTCTTTGGGAATTGGGTTTTGTCAACTGAAATTGCGTCTAGTTTCGTTTATAAAACAATAAAAGAGTATTAAGCAGAGAAAACGTTCATATAAATGGTATTGTATAAAGCAAATTCATTGCATTTTTTTTTGCCACTAGCAGATATATTCCCTGAAATGTAACAATGGTTGATGGTCTGGTGATATATTATGTATTATCGCACACCAGTCTATGCATTTCATAGAACAGATACTGTATAAGAGAATTGTACTTCTAAATAAATCGCACGGTAAAGAACAGCCTGTGTTAACCACATAGGAGATGATTGCAAAGCGAACGAGAGAGAAAGATAGAAGAAAAGATGAAAAGAAAAGTGTTAATGGACAATAAGAGCCTCGGGCTAAGCTCTTTCTCTCCTGCTCTCCCTCATGTAACACAGTACTGTGCTGCTTTAGGGATTTGTCTTTTAAGCCCAGTCATTAATTAGCAGTGAGAGCTGCTTGACAGGTATTACATTGTTACAAATTGGTTAATTACTGTGGTTTGTGACATGAGGCAAGGCAGTAAAGGCAGCCCTAGGATGTTTAGAGAGAGAGGAAACCACTTATTGATCCAAAGCTGGACTTTCAGTAGCCGAGGTAAAAAGCCTTCGGTTGTGATTGATGAGGCTGGTGTATTTTGTTATGTGTGTGTATAAACACTTTCTGTCAACTCTAGTCTGAGGGCATCCAGAGTATATTGTGTCAGAGGTTCAGTGACGTTTTAATGAGTGAATCTTACTGACAGTCTTACAGTGCAAAGCTACATTCAAGACATTCATCTTGTGTAGTTGTTTTAAGAAACCCTGTTGGTTTATGGGACATGTCCACCAACATTGATCAGATGCGTTCTCGTTGGATTCTTTAGGATTCTTCCTTCCAGTTTTGAACTTGCTATAATTATATATTATATATTATCACTTGTGTTGTGACAAGGTGAGAATTTATTTTTTTCCCGGGAAACAAGCAATGAAGAAATTATAGATTTATATGCATCAGGAAAATAATTGCATATTTGTTTTTTATTATTAGGGTTTGGTTATTTTATTATATTTCCGTAAAGCTATGTGTGAATTCATGCACACATTTTTGTTCGGAAAAAAAAAATATTGTAAAATGTATGACTCGTCTGATGCTAAATTAATCTCTTTCTAACCCCCACAGTTTAAACGTATTTAAGTCAATATTTATATATTGAATATGAAATATATTGAATATGAAAAAATATATATATATATAAAAATATATATATAAATATATTGAATATGAAAAAAAAAAATTATGCGTTCTCGTTGGATTCTTTAGGATTCTTCGTTCCAGTAAAAAAAACAGCTGGACAGAGTACACGAGTCTCCAGATACGATTTAAACTATTTTTTTAACTTGCTATTTAATGTGTCGTAACAAGATGAGATTTTTTTTTTCCCGGGAAACAAGAAATGAAGAAATTATATATTTATATGCATCAGGAAAATAATTGTATATTTGTTTTTTTTATTATTAGGGTTTGGTTATATTTTATTATATTTCCGTAAAGCTATGAATTCATGCACACATTTTTGTTTTCGAAAAAAAATATTGTAAAATGTATGACTCGTCTGATGCACAGTTTAAACGTATTTAAGTCAATATTTATATTGAATATGAAAAAAAATATTGGATTCTTTAGGATTCTTCCTTCCAGTAAAAAAACAGCTGGACAGAGTACAGAGTACACGAGTCTCCAGATACGATTTAAACTATTTTTTTAACTTGCTATATAATGTGTTGTAACAAGGTGAGATTTTTTTTTTCCCGGGAAACAAGAAATGAAGAAATTATAGATTTATATTTGTTGTTTAATATTAGGGTTTGGATATATTTTATTATATTTCCATAAAAGCTATGAACTAATGCTTTCGAAAACAATATTGTAAAATGTATGACTCGTTTGTTGCTAAATTAATCTCTTTTTAACCCCCACAGTTTAAAAGTATTGAAGTCAATATTTAAATTGAACATAAAAAAAATGAATTTAAAAAATCTAGATAAACCAATCCCTGGTATGAGCAACAGGGTTTTCGGAAACAAAGCGAGAAATAAAGATCACTTTGATCCCTCTTTTCTCTGGAAGACTCGTCAGTTTTCACACAAGGCCTTCCCTTGTCCCATGCCGGCTCGGATGCACACCCTCTTGTGAAAGCCCAGTCTGGGAGCTGTTAAGGGGAGCTGCAGGTTTATTTTTCCAACTGGCCGCCTGTGACAGTTGCCTTTATTGTGCATTGTTGAGTCTGTGTGTGTGTGTTTGTGAAGGGGTTACAAATGGAGCCTACTCTCACCTTCCTGCCAGGGCAAAGGGTCAGGTCAGCTGCTATGACTCCCTTCTTTCTCTAGCTTTCTTCATCATCTGTTTTTCCCTGGTGAGGAATGTGGCCCCTCAGAAGGTAGAGAACGAGAACAATGGGGGATTGTGGGCTGTGTAGACGTGTGTCTGTGTGTGCGTGTGTGTGTTTTAACGCAGCTATATGACCTCAGACGCACAATTGCACACATTAACAGACGTGCTCATTTGGACATTGGGACGCTTTAGGGGTTTAGCACACACAAACACACACTCTGTTTGATTGGTGGTAGTCTGGGGTAATACCGCAGTGCAACGACATCCTGTCGAGTGATTTAGTCTTCCCTTCTTGCCGCCTGCTCTGGGGCTGATCGTATGTCAGAGCGTTCTCATCTTTAGCCGAGGTCGGAGGTCAGCTCATGCTAAATGTGTAGCGACGGCTAGGTAAACACCAGGGCGATAGCACATCTCAGGAGGAGCACATCTGGGTGCAAGGCTTCCTCGCCTAGCTTATTGACCTGTGGCCCGTGCCCTTTAACCCCTGCAGGCACCCCGGACAGCCTGGCGGAGAAAGAGCGCCAGCTGATGGGCATGATCACGCAGCTCAGCAGTCTCAGAGAGCAGCTTCTGGCCGCCCATGAGGAGCAGAAGAAACTAGCCGCTTCGCAAATTGAAAAACAGCGCCAGCAAATGGAGTTGGCCAAACAGCAACAGGACCAGGTTAGCACTTTTTCAACATGTTTCGTCTTGTGTTTCATCAATTATGCACACTTTCCAAAGACTGAAGAGGATAATAGATGATAAGGGCTGGCTAGGCTAATATATTGCTGAAAATTAAATATACATGTTTATTTCAAATCAACACACAATATGTCCACAAAAATGTTTGTGCGGTTGAATTGGCCTGGTTGCCTAATGCAGGTCCTAACAAGGCAAATAATGCAATATGTTTCTCATAATATATTGATGGGTTAAGAAAGCCCTGTGTATTAGGCTGGTTCCAGGTTCTCTTGACCCTGATTATTTTTTTTTATTTTTTTTTTTATTTTTTTTATTCATAAACGGCTAGATAAAGCACAACTTAATGGAGCAGACTGCAGTAGTCTTGATACAAATGTTTATAGGTAGTAAAAAAAAATGTGGCTGATGTTGCTTTAAAGTGGATACATTTCAAGTTTTTCCGACACTGTCAGGATGCTAATTAGAGCACCACCGTAAAATTATTAAAACAAAAACTAATTAGAGATAAGCTAGTCAGCCTCAATAACAATATATTATGTTGTTGGATAACTGGTAAATTAATGACCCATTCCTTCCTATTATGTCTGTTTATGCCACTGTTTTGGACATTTAAATAGTACAGAACAGTGTTACCAGTGAGTGAATGTGCGGGAGGAAAGGTATTGGGTGTGTAACTAACATTGTAACGTTTTTTACTTTGAACCACAATTACAAAGAAACTGTCTGTGTCTCCTTCCCCCTATACAGTAAGTATGTGTATAGTCCCCTCAAGCACGCAGGCAAAAAACTAAAGGTGTTTGCATACAGAAGTGTGTGCTTTAGCTTTGTTGTGTGCATAGTTGCTTCTGGGGAGCTCAGTTTTACAAAAGAAAACAGATCTCTATTAATACATACACTAACACACCCCTGTACACACACACACACACAACGCTCCAGGACTGGGCGCCACTCCTTGGTAAATATGTATGAAATACAAAAGCATCCTCAAGAGCTTCAAACAGAGTTTACAGTCACCTTACATGCGTGTGACCCCCCTCTCTGAACAAATAATGTCCTCCCTTGTTGGAAAAGAGTTTGACGTATTTGACAGTTTGACATGCTCTATCCGCAGATTGCACGACAACAGCAGCAACTTCTGCAGCAGCAACACAAAATCAACCTCCTGCAGCAACAGATCCAGGTGAGTCTTTATATATATGTGCATGTCCACTTGTAGACTTGTGTATTTATGTTTTGCGTTTATGCTTTTGAACAGTCATGTTTGTGAGACTTGTCACCATGGCCGCGGGGTTTCGTGACAATCAAACATTCTAGTCCACCAATCAGCAATCAACCTCCCAATCACAGACATGCATCAGCCCTGGTATCTAGAGTCCGTTTTCATAGTCACTTTTTCAAAATGTAGTTACACAAATGAAGATTGTGCATTATGATAAGCTCAGGTGAAAAAAATCCATCCAAGATTACTGGCGGATTTAAGAAACGTTGATTATAAATATAATTAAATTTATTTGAAAGGTCTAATGTAAAATAAATACATAAATAAATAAATAAACTAATTAAGAAAAGACTGTTCCCCCAAATGTGTGCATGCTTCATATTTTTTTATAGATTATCATGCATCTTATCTTAGCAATGTTAACATTTGGAAACAATTCTCCCATGCACTTCGAATAACATAGACAGTCTGTGAATGAATGTTTTTCAAAGATTTTGAACAAAGCTTTTAGGTTATAGCATGTCAGCTGCTAGCTATTTGTGTGGTCCTATGAAGAGCATTTTCAAATCACTTAAACAGGCTCCATTTTGGATAATATGCTACCTATAGTAGTGGACAAGCAGCACTATATGTTTTGGAAAAGAGTATCATAACATGTCAATCATATCAACTTGATCTTTTACGTAAATAAATGTGTCGGTAATGTCCTGATGGCTGGTAAAGCAGCATGTGGAAAACTAAACAGAGACACTTTTTAATGGGTTTGTCCCAGCTGACTTATACATGGGGCAGAGAGACACTGGCCTGCTTTGTGTGTGCAGGTGTGAAGCGAATAAAGGCTTTGTGTGCAAGAGGAGATGAGATGATTCTAATTTGGTTGATAAAATGAGACTTAGCCTTGAGAGGGACTCCGGCAGTTTTGGCCAGGAAGCCACATCACACTGAGACTATTCACACACACACACACACACACACAGAGAAAGAGAGAGAGAGAGAGAGATCACTGCCGTCCGCTGGACCCCTGCCATTCTCTTTTAGTGCCTGTGTGTGTGTGTGTGTTGCAGCTGTGTTTGCATGTGTGTAGTATGTTCATACTGCACAGCTTAGCCTGAACATGTGTATGTGAGACTTATCTGTGTCTATTTCGAAATCCGCATCAGCTCATGTTCTTATGTGTGTTAGTTAGCAGCTGTGTGTGTGTCAGTCCCCAAAACACGTCCGCTTGGGTTTCTCTAGCCCCGCTCGTCGCTCACAGAAACAAAGCTTCTTTTTCCCATGACTTTGCAACCTTTTCCCAAACAAGCACTTCTCCATTCAGCCTAGTGGAACAATAGTTTCTCACAGTCAACACGGAGGCGGGGGAGGGGGGCGAGAGGAGGAGACCCTTGTATATGGGCCAATCATATATTAGCCCTAAATCACCTCCTGAAAAACACACATTTGACTTGTGTCTAACACACAGGCCGCTAACATACTCATGCGTCACAGACAAATATAGCAGTCCTGAACTTTTCGAGTACATTTAGAGTTTATTACGTGACTGAGGTCAAGAGACAGATTCCATGTCTAAAGAATGGAAAATAAGCTTTAAAGTAAACATGGAATAAAAATGCAATACAATTGACCCTATCCTGGTCTTATTTTGAACAATTATTCCATACTTGTCATTTGAAACAACACAAATAGTTTTTAATCATTTTCCTGTTTGGCAATTCAATCCTTATCCTCGTCTTATTGAAGTAAAACTCGAGTCAAATGGATTGCTAATGCTGTTTTACTTTGACGCGAAATCCCTGTAGAACCAACATGGACTTTTCAACCCAAGTCTGTAGCACATTTAAAACTCCTTGAAGAGTTAGTTCTCTCCTGAAATATGCACACACAGTTAACATGTATATACCTCACAGTGTGGGGCCACTTCTTTAGGCTCTTGGGGCTAACATGCATACACACTCTTTCTTTCTTATTAAAGCTGTGTCTCAACTCAGGACCCCTGACGGTTATCAAACCAGGAAGACAGGCTCTTTTGGATGAAAGAATCCTCTTGCCGAGAAGGTTGGAGAAGCATGAGGCATGAAATGCAGGATACATATAATGCATTCCCATGTTGAGAAAGGCCTGTGGGCGCTGTGACTGGGAGCTGCCCACTGGTACAACCTCCTCCTGAGCTCCGCTGTACTCTTAACACTTTCCCGCTGTCTGTTCGCTTTTCTCTCATTAGCAGCCTCCTTTCAGCAAACCTACTCCGGCTCTGCGGGGCATCGCGCTGGTGTTAGAAAATTTCCGCTACCCAGCGCAGGGGCTGGGATGAGGCTCCTCCGCTGTCAAAGTGGCAGTTAACGCAAGTAGCCAGACCTCCCATGAGGAGCTTTTTTTTTTTTCAGACTAATTTGACGTAGAACGACAGTCATTTAGCACAAAGGCATTAGCCCCAGATAACGAAACAAGCACTGCTGTCGCATGTTTTAGCTAACTAACTAGTTTAAGTCTTTAGACACGGTGGCGGCAGAAATACGACAGGCTGCTTATAAAACACATATTAGAGTCAACCTACATTTCAGGAAATCTAACCTAATAAAGAGCTTCCACGGCAGTACCTTATACATGTCAAACACGGCATGATTGCTTCATAACTCAATCAGACTCATTTGCCATGCGTCAGTGCCTCCTTGAGATAGTAAATTCATTTTCCCGTGGAATGAGAGTTGAAACGAAATCGGTTGAGGAGGAACAAAAAAACAACAGGAGCGTTAGCTCATCAGAGTAAGACCAGGTCCTGTGTACAGGAGCAGCTAACCCAATTGGCTGTGTAATTGTTTAATTTGTCTCATTATACCTAAATGAATGTAATTGGTGTTTTTCCTGCATGAAGTGGCCGCACTGGTTGTGTGAACTGGGCTTTGCGCAGCTCTGCGGATTATGATGGGGATCGGGGGGATTCTTCCAACACATGTTCCCGACTCGTTTTATATTATTAAGGATATTTCAGGTGGCATTTTATAGTTCTTAAAGTGATGTCATTTCTGCTCAATACGTGGTTTGCAGTCACGTGATTGTGTTGACGCACGGAATGCAGATGGAGGGCAAAGAGTGAAAATCTGTCCTGTACTACTTTAGACGCTATTACAAGAGAAATATATCAACAGAAAATCGAAACATATGTTGGACGTGATCCTTACGTTATGAAGAGGACCGATTTTCAACTGAATTGAGAGATTTTCCAGCCATCGAGGCTGTAGATAGCAGCAACTAACTCGTCTTACAGACACACTTCAGAAACTGATGCGTTACACAAACAGCAACATAAGTGTATTTAAACACCTGAATAATGTAATTATAAGCCACATAAATAATGTATTAACTCACATTTGACGAAGTGATCACTGCACACACACACACAGGCATTTCCCATTCAGCTCCTCCCGGCCGCAGACGTTCCCGGTGTTTTTCTGTCAATTTCTTGTATTTTCCCCTCTTATGAACAACAACTCTGGGCACACGATAAAAACTCCTTGTGGTTTGATCGATTTGAGCGACGCAAAACATAGGCATTTTAAAGTCCCTATGAAATCAAAATTGACCATACTTACTTTGTTTGCCTAAATTGATCGTTTTGTGGTGAACAATTCATACATGCAAGTCAATTCACACAAAAAAATTTTTTGGCTCCGTAATCTTTAATCAAAGTTTGAAAATGCCCCTCCCCTCTTTATTGGAGGACCTTGCCCGATGACGTAGGCTTTACGGTTTGGGTGTCTCCTTAACACCCATAACCACGCCCCTCCAACTGACAGCTGCTGTGTTTGCCGTCATCCTCTATTTCAGAATGAAACACCCATTTTTCTAGACCCAATCAAGTGCTAGTTAGAAAAAAAAGCCACGCCCAGTATTTTGCCTCATTTAGTATTCCGTTTCTCTCCGAAATACGTCACAACACTCGTTTGCAACTTCCGGTTCACGGGGACTTTAAATGTGTTATAGTGCTTCCTAAATATAGTAAATCACTTCCTGCCCTCCATCTGCATTTCGCGCCATGGCAACGCAGTGGCGTCACGTGAAAACAAGCTATTAGCACTATCAGTTGTTTATCATAAAAGTTATGTTCGTACAGACTGATCTCATGAAATGGCGTATATATGACGCCCCAATTCGTATTTCCACTTTTGGCGTGCTATCAACACGAAATAAACGCTTTTCAGCGTGTTTATCAACGCCGTTGACTTAACGTTACATTACTGTATATATAAATATATGACCTAGCCCAACAACGTCTCTAAACCTATCCGTCACTGGGTTTAATAACCTTTTGCTTCGTTTCGCTCGGACTTTTAACGGCGTATACTTGCACGCGGAATCACTCTGACATTTAACGGCGTAGACATACACGCAAAAAATGACGGTTCGTTCCGGCGTGGACACACGCGGATAGCTAAAAATGCGTATAGATGAAGTGCCACTTGAAAAGTTGAAAGTGGCGTATATGTTTTCGCAAAGTCATGATGATGCCATGTTGGTTCGTAAGAATCAACCAATACATTGGTTGGGGGGGATCACCAATACATTGAACAAGACGGAGAATGATGAAGGAAGTTCAGCCTTAAAAGTAGGCATTCAGAGAAAATTCTCCAAAGTGCTACTGTATGTGCTCTACAAGGAAGCCGAAAGGATAGAAATTAACAGATACAAAGTGTTATACGTGTCCATTTCCACTTCTACTTCCTCTTCAACCACAGAACAACTGTGTGTTACCTAAGCGACTGGCCCTGAGAAGCATATAACAGCCTGGTGTGTGCCCGTGTTTGCGTGTCTTCATGTGTTTGAGTGTGTGGGGAAGGCTTCTCTCAGCCCGGTGGTTGGCAGCTAATGGGAGCTATTTGAGGAAGGACACACAGGCAGAGGAGCAGATGGGCCCTGCGTTATGCCCACCTACAGCGGGCGGCTGACGCACCTCCTGCACTCAC